GGTTTTTGTTTCCTTATGTTAAACATTATCTGACTAAGCAAATATTAAGTTCATTAATAAGTACATCAAGTGCTGTGTTTATCTGAGTCTATAAGCAAACACAACTAGACTGCCACATTATAAAAGTACATACATTCTATGAATATGTACACAATCACAGTTGTATCCATCCTATAACTTTCCTTTTAAACAACCTAAGAAATGTGAGACAAATATAGCACAGCAAAAAATCATCTACTAGTTAAAATTTTAAGCATAGAGGAGGTAGAAAAATTTAAATTATTATATATAATTACCTTTCATGTTCTGACTCAGGAACCCAGGACTCATAGGGCATAAAAGCAAACTCTGTACTAAGTTTTCAAAATAGTACATATGAGTTAATTTTGTCTGACTAAATTTTAAGAAAGAATTATATAGTTATTCTATTTATTATTTGTCTCTCTGTTATTAAATTGTAAACCTTGACAAGTACTTGACACGTAACAGGAACTCAATAAATGGAAAACAAAAACTATGGATAGACCAACAAAATTTTTAAACCAGATGCCAGTGGCTTCTTCTGATTCAATTAGTTGTTAACAAATGAATTTGCTAAATAAAATCCAAATTGTGTGGCCTGAATTAAAATGATGAAGAGTTATCATAGAAGCAAAGTATGAAGAAAGATTCATTTCACAGAAGGGAAAATTGAAGCGCAGAAAGATTATTAATAAAATAGCTGCTCTTAGACTCTTTGATTAGAAATTCTAAATGCTAGAAATAAGTATGGTTTGTATAGCCAGTCATTCACTAACTTGATATCCTTCTTCTGTGTATCATATAATGCTAACATTCAAAGCAATACTAAAAGACTAGTCAGTTTCCAATGGAAATTGTGATCAGAGTATCATGATCATCAGTGACAAGCATTAACACATGCATTAGCTTAACAGAAACCATGCTAAATAACAGTGGTGGGTGTTTAAAAGGACTCTGAAAACTTGTTTCAATATCATAGTTTTTTTTTTTTCTTTTGATCTCATCTGCTTCTTTTTTTTTTTCTTTCAGCATATTATAGGGGTACAAACTTTAAGGTTTCAAATAATGCCCCCTCCCCCCACAAGTCTGAGTTTTCAGCGTGACCATTCCCCAGACAGTGCACATCTCACTCATTATGTATATATATACCCACCGCCCTCCCCCCTCCCACTTGCCCAATACCCTATTACTGTAGTTCCTATGTGTTCATTTAAGTGCTGCTCAGTTAATACCAGTTTGCTGGTGAGTATATGTGGTGCTTGTTTTTTCCATTCTTGGGATACTTCACTTAGTAGTATGGGTTCCAGCTCTAACCACGAAAATACAAGATGTGATATATCACCATTGTTTCTTAGAATCTGGGGAACTTTTCAATTGATATAGCCAAATGGGTAACTTTTACCTGAGAGTAAAAAAAAAAAATAGACAAGCAACAGGAATAATTTAAACATTGATCAGTAAGTCTGATAGTTCTTTTTGTGTTTTCACAAGTTTTACATAAGTAAGCACATATTTGGGGACCTTTTTGTAATGTGCCCTAGCCTTTTACTGTATCTACCAAACTGTTAATATTGTTTTTCTGCAGATGTGTTTTAAATTCATTATACTATGCACAGCAAAGAGGGTTTTCTGAATTAGGCTATTGTGACTTCCTCTAATTTAAAGTGGATTTGTGAGAAAGAATCAAATTTCATAGTTAAGACATTTATTTCTAAATATTAAATGTTAAATTTTCTGGTCATGCATATTTTGAAAGGACAGTGTACCTCTAAATGGTGAAAATAATATAAAAGATTTCATGATTTCAATTTAGATATTGACATAAAATAATGATACTAATTTAAATATCTCTTTTATAATGTCAAATTGATAGGATTTAAAAAATCATAAATGTAAATAGGACAAATGTGTTTTTGTTTGAATAATTCCTCTATCCCCCAAGTAGAATTGTGTGAATTTTCAATACATAGGTCTACCCAATGCCTGTAAGAGTCTAATAGATTGAACCTTGAAACTATGCTTCACCAAGAGTTACACTGAAAGCAAATTTTGTTGAAATATAGATCAACATAGGTGTGAAATTTATGTCCTTATAATTGGATATCATATGATAGCTGTTCTTAAAAGGGGAGTGAAACTTTGATATATAAACACTCATTTGTCAATTATTTAGAGGATTTTTATTATGGTATTTCCTATGAATTATTATTTTAAAACTAATATTTTACTATTATACAATAGCACTTTTGCAAAAACAAACAAAACTTGACAATTTTATTAAAAGCCTCTCACTATTCACTGAAATAAACTATTTTTATATTTTTTTTCTTCAATTCCCTATCATCTTCCAATGGAAATGTACTTTCGATAGACTTTAGAGAAATGTTATCAAAGGGCATTTGAATTAAATATCTCTCTCAATTTTCATTAGTCAAAGTAACTATAGGAAAGCAGATACAGTTTCTCTTCAGCATAAAATGATTTCTATGTACTTGGCAAGACTTAAATAGGCATGCGATCTATCTAAGGTCAACTTTTAAAAAACAATGTAAAATTGTACGTTTGTGACAGTTCCAACTTTCTTTTTAAAAAGGTTGCATATGCTCACATAGGTAATCCCACCATTTGGGAGGCCAAAACAGGAGGATCTTGAGGTCAGGAGTTCAAGACCAGCTTGGGCAACATAGCAAGACCCTGGCTCTACAGAAAACTTTAAAAGTTAGCCAGGCACATTGGTGCATGCCTGTAGTCCCAGCTACTCAGGAGGCTGAAGCAGGAGGATCAGGAGGATCTCTAAAGTCCAGAAGTTCAAAGCTGCAGTGAGCAGCTATGATTGTGCCACTGAACTCCAGCCTGGGTGATAGACCAAAATCCTGTCTCTCAATAAAGAAAAATAAAAAAAGGTTGTACATGAAACAGATTAACCAGCAATAAACAAAATTATATTGCTTTAATAAGCTAACAATATTGGGATTAAAGAGAAGATAATGATCCTTTCCTTTGACACTACTATAGTCATCACCACCAGTGATCAAAAATAGTAGTCATAAACCCCATTCCTAAGTGGCTCAAATTCTTCACAAAGCTACATAAAGTCCCAAACACAACAAAAAATTTTAGCCAATTCAGTCTGGTCCTTATGAAAACTAACCAAAATACTTTTGAAGAGTCATAAGCATGCCTCTATTAAAAGTATTCTTCCATCATTTCAAAGCAAGCATGACAATATCATTACTTTCAAGTGTGTTTTTGTTTGTGTTTGACAGGAAGTCTCGCTATGTTGCTCAGGATGGCCTTGAACTCCTGGGCTCAAGCAATCCTCCTGCCTCAGCCTCACAAGTAGCTGGGACTACTGGTGTACAGCATCACACCTTGCTTTGTTTTTTAATAGAATTTTTCAATTTGTATGTGGGGGTCATATTTTCTCAGTCACCATCCTGTTTCAAAATCATGGCAATTTATTCCATCTTTCACTGATAATTTTGTTCTCAAAGAAACTCTAACTCCCAGTTTATACTCTAGTCAAATATTCAAACAACAGGGCTCTGATTACTTAGGACAGTCTAACCCTTTAATAGCCATAATCTTTACAGGAAGCACATTTCTATTTGGTGACTGAAATATATGTGGAGCTTTATAAAAATGATCAATTTTTCTTTTACTTTCCTACAAAGGTTATGTTTTAAACTTTCTTCAGTGTTTTAGAAGACCCTCAAGCTGGAATCTTATTTTAAAATGAAACAAATATGTCCAGAATGTCACATTTCCTCTTCTTTCACTTCTATTTCTCCCATGCCTATCTATTACAATCGTATCAATATTGCAAAGCTGTATTCAAATCCATCAGCTGTAATGCTTTTCCTGATCCTTGCCGCCTCTCTTCTCCAAACAGGTATGATCTCTCCTCCTCTAAATTCCTGTAACACTTGGTGGTTCTCTTATGTTATTCATCACTGCCCTGTTAGTACAAGTTAAATGGGTACTTGTTTGTCTCACATTTGAGCTTGTGAGCTCCTGGAAGTAAGGGAGTATGTCTTATTTATAAATTTACCATAATGCCTAATATACTAACATGTATATATCAAGGATATAATATTTTTTTCAGTAAATGAAGGAATAATTTATGGGTTGCTGTGATTAACTATAGTCTTAGGATCCTACATACCCTTATATCACCTCATCACAAACATAAAAACAAACTCAAAAGCCTAATTCATGTGATACTTGGAAAGAGGGGAAAGAGGATATGTGCCAAACTAGGGAACAGAATGAAGGATTATAAAATATCCTTTGTGTTTCATTACCCAATGGCCATAAATTTTTGAAAAAATAGTATTCTAATAATGATAATGCAATAAATTATCATAAATATTTGTTTAATGTTTCACAAGTTTTAACATGTATTTTACATTATCTGTAGACAGCCAATGAAATAAGTAGTATAGATTTATTAAGTATGACTTTCATTTTACAGTTGAGGAAGCATATTCAGGCAGGTTAACCATCGTATCCAAGGTCATTCAACTAAGTGGCAAATCAGAATTGGAACCTAAGTCTGTCTGACAATAAGTCCTATATGGTATATTATACCTCACAGTTGCCTCTCAAACTCCAAAAGGATGCACAGTGTTTACTTTGTTTCACACCAGCAATGGGAGTGGTTTTTGCACACTCCTCTAGTCTCTGATTATTCTGCCCATACCTTCTACATTGTGCACACAATTGCAAGATAAGAAGCTAGAATTAAAAGGAAGAGTTGTGGCCATGGAATGAAAACAAAAAATCACCACCAAAAACAAAACAAAACAAAAAAAGCCTGGCAGGCCTAGTCAGAAACAACTAAACTCATCAATACTGTATGTTAACCAACTGAATCAATGAGCTGTGTGTTACTAGTGAACATCGAGTGGGATTGCTAATATTTTCCAAAATTTGCATGTAATTAACACATTTGTCCTCTTCCAGATTGTGATTCTTACCTTTATAACAGAAGTACCAGCTCTGGAGAGAGGACTGTGAATCTGGGCTGCAGCAGCCATATTGGCAATAGTATTGAGATGGTTCATCTGATTCATTGCCATGGCAACTGATGCAGGAGGTAAGCTGACTGGAAGTAGGGGATGAGGCATCATCATAAACGGCAGATCCAGCCCTAAAACAGACAATGCATGTTAAATTTGTTAGACTATGAGTCTATAAAATAATTTGTAAAAAAGCATGTAAATTAATTTGTGTTGGCTTTTTTAAAAATCAAATTTTATTGTATTATCCTATCCCTTTGGGCCATTAATAGTACATATGATATATTATACTGTTTAATAATTTTTTAAATCCTCCTATATCCACACTGTTTTATTTCAGAATATTATGGGGGTACAAACATTTGGGCTACATATAATGCCTTTTAATTATAAATATGCTTTGTTCTTGCTTTCACTCACAAAATATTTATAAGATGCACTTTTTCCCATAAAAACCAACAAAAATCTTTAAGCCAAACATCATTGCATTTAAAAAATAAGAACTTTCTTTTTAATCATTACTTTATTCTCATTCAATTAAAACATTATAATGATAATCTATTGATATGTTGATAATTTCCAGCTTAACATTTTCTTTAAAAGACATAATGTAGGTACTGCTAAGGCAGGGTGTAGATTCTCTCAACTTCAGAATTATTGAATAAAACAAGACTTGGAATATATTATATCCTTTTAAATATAAATCTCTGAAATGAATGCTGATAGCTCTAATTTGAAGTCTTTGTCAATAAAGAATAACTTCCCTACCAAAATATCAACCCCTTTAAGAGTTTAATAACAAATATCAATACTGTTGAGTAGGAATTCCATTTGTTTTCTTATGCAAGTTGAAGTAACTTTTACATATTTGAAACATCTTAAAGAAGATATTTAAAGATCTTGAAAATATCTTTCAATTATCAACCACATTCCATTTGTGGTAGCCACAGATACATAATCATGTAAAAGGTAACATACTAAAATAATTGTCTACTTATCCCTTATCAGGTTGGGATTTGTGAGAGGAAAGACCTTTGAACAGAGACTAGGGAAAGTTAGCCTAACATTATGAATGTTAACATGACTATAAGTACACCATAGCACTTTACAATTTATTTTATTTATTTATTTATTTTACAATATATTTTAAAATATTGCCTCTACAGTAATCATGCCCTATTTTGGACAGAACCCTCCAAAACACTTATCTTTAATATATGTTCTAAAAAATCCTTGCTTATAATTTTTCTAAATTATTATAGACTACAGAAATTCTATGATGGGCAACATTTATGTTGATCCTACACAAAATTATCAGTTATTAGTAACAGGCCTTTTTTTCTTTTTGTCATCCCTTTAATTTTTCTAGTTTCCCATATCATAATAGAAAAAGAGAACATCTATGAATCTATAGGAAGTATATTCAAAGGGCCCCTAAATCTCATTCCTCATAACAACAGTGGCAGAAATACAAACATTCAAAACATGTTTTTTTAGGACAAAAATTTTCTCCCACTGTGTGATTTGTCTTTTCATTCTCCTAACAGTGTGTTTCACAGAGTAGTTATCCATTTTAATGAAGTCCAATATTAATGAAGGTTAAAAGAAGAAAGTGATGTTAATTTATTTGAGGTCCATCTCCTGATTTCAAATATAATTGTTGATTTAAAGCTGTTAACAAGAAAGTGCAAAGGCAGCACAAGGCAATGAAATACACTTCCAGATAAGACAGATTTCATATGACACTAAAGTAATCATCTCAATTAAGGAATTTCTAAATAAAGAATACATCAGTCAGCTATCAGTTTTCTGATGAAGATAGCCACAAAATGCAGTGTTATCAGCATCCGATAAAGGGCTGATAACAAAAGTCTATCTAGAACTTAAAAAAAATCAACAAGAAAAAAATCAAACAACCCCATCAATAAATGGGCAAAGAAAATGAACAGAAACTTTTCTAAAGAAGACAGAATAATGGCCAAAAAACATATAAAAAAATGCTCAACATCTCTAATGATTAGAGAAATGAAAATCAAAACCACAATTAGATATCACCTAACCCCAGTGAGACTGGCCTCTATCAAAAAAATCCCAAAACAAGAAATGCTGGTGAGGATGTGGAGAGACAAGAACACTCTTACACTGCTGGTGAGACTGCAAATTAGTGCAACCTCTGTTGAAAAGAATTTGGATCCAGCAATAGCACTGTTAGGTATCTACCCAAAAGAGCAAAATATATTCTGTAATAAAGACATCTGCACCCGAATGTTTATGGCAGCACAATTCACTATTGCAAGAAGGTGGAAATAACCCAAGTGCCCATCAATTCATGAGTGGACTATTCAAATTTGGTATGTGTATACAATGGAATATTACTCAATTATAAGAAATGACAGTGATCTAGTACGTCTTATATTTTTCTGGATTGAGCTTGAGCCCATTATCTGAAGTGAGATATCACAAGATCAGAATGGGCTCCACATGTACTCACCATCAAATTGGTACTGACTGATTAACACTATGGTGCTCATATGGTAGTAATATTCTCCAGGGATTAGGGGTTGGGGTGGGGGTGGTAAACTCACAATTAATGGACATGGTGAGCATTGTAGAGGGGAAGGGCATGCCTATAACCCTCACTTGGGTGAGGCAAAGACATAAAATGTAACCAGAATGTTTGTACACTCATAATATCCTGAAATAAAAAAAATGCAGTGTTATCAGAATTACACACGGATAAAAACAAACCTAGAAACTGAAATTCTGCATGGAATTCGAGAAAGGGATAATTCTCCATATTTTCTATGACTCTATATCCCAGAGAATATCAATAAAATATTTTAAACTTTTCTTTTATCAGTGTTTACTTATGGCTCATGATCTTTAAATCCTTTTTTCAGAGCAATCAACCAAACCAGACATATCTGCTATGAAACCTCTTTCCTGGGATTAATAATTTATCAGAGAAGAATAACATAAAGCTTAATTCAAAGCTGAATTCAAAATGGCCTTCCCCAACATCTTATATTCATTTTATTGTTACAAATTTTATTTTAAATTATGAATTATAATTATATATATTTATGGAGTACAAAGTGATGTTATGATATAGGTATATAAGGTGTGATGATTAAATCAACCTAATTAACATATATATAACCTCAAATAATTATCATTCTGGAGAACGTTATGGTAAATGAAATAAGTCAGGCACAGAAAGACAAATACAGCATTATTTCACTTATATGTGGAACCCACTCCCTTTTAAACCAAAAGTTTGTTTTTAGTTAGCCTTCCAAAGTTACTTAGATGCATATGTATTTCATCATGTACTCATCATATAACTTATGCTGTAATGAGATATTTTATATCATATATTAAGTTAATCACTATTTATCTTTCCCCAAAACCTTCACATTATGCTTAACATAGTAATAGCCACCAGTGACCTAAATAGGTTTCTATATAAGGCTGTCATTAACCACAAACTCAAGATAATTATAGACTTCAGTCCTTCTTTGTGTACACAGTGCTTCAGTGGAAAATTGACCAAACTGTAAATGAAAAGTCACCATCAGTGCCTCCCTTTACTTTTCAAATGCTTGTTCAATTTACATATCCCTTAACAGTGTAACAATCTTTCCTCATTCTCTAAGGATTTTCAGCATCACCCAGATGCCATCTGGCCATATCAAGAAATATGCATACTTAAAGTCCAATTGACATGCAAAGTAAATGTAAGCTACTAAAAGAATTTAACCACCAGCCGAAAGTTTAAAAATATAATTCATCAGACATTTCAAATGATAATGAAGGACTTAAAAGTCACACTTTCAGGTCATGACCTGCAATAGCTAACCATCAATTGACTATAATGCCCTGGACTCTAAAAGTTAATATTTACATTACAGGCCAGTTTAATAGTGACCCCACCTGAGTTCCACATGCAAAGTATATGCAAATACTGAATTATTTAAGTGAACCTTTTCCCAAAGCTGAAAACATTAAATTAAAAGTCAACAATAGTGCACACATTCCAGCAATCTGGCTCACTTAGTCACATGCCAAATATATTCACAGCCTTAATTGTATGGTAATGAAGACAAATGCTGTTCTAAAAATCATCAAAATGGATCATCTCTTTCCTGTCAACCTCAAGAACATCATACAAGCTACTGTAAGCATCATTTTTAATGCATCCTGGTATTCCAACAACTCCTATACTTTTTTACATAAGTGCACAGTACCACCTCCTCCTAGCCACAAAGGGTACAAACTTCAGTAATCCTCTAATTCTTCCCCTAAATCCCAGATTGATTTGCTTTCTAAGTCATGTTGATCTCTATAATATCTTCCCATTTCTACAGTGATTGCCAGGCATCAATCACTTCACACCAGTACTCTGTCTTCCTGAATGGTCTTTCTGGGGCTTTTCATTTGTCTTTCCACTCCGATTTTAAGACTCCCAGTGATTACTTACTGCTTCTAGAATAAAATGCAAATTGTTTTATTTCATCAGAAATTACCTTTCTAGTTTTGATATTTCATTATGTTCCTCTATGTATGCTCCACTGAACTATATGCAGTTCTCTACAGTTTGAATTCACCTTAGTCTTCACTCATGTTGATGCCTCTGGAATATGCCCCTCTAACCTGATTTATTTACCTATGGTAAAAGTTTCCTTCTTTAAAAAAAAAAAAAAAGCAGACTATTTTTAGAGCAGTTGTAGATTCACAGAAAAACTGAGCAGAAATTATGGAGAATTTCCTTTTACCTCCATTCTGCCAGCACTTATTGCCCCTCTTATTAAATTGTGTATTAATATGGCATATTATTACAATTGAAAAATCAATATTGATACCTTATTATTAAATAAAGTCCATAGTTCGTATTAGAGCTCATTTTTTTGTTTTGTACATTTCTATGGGTTTTCAGAAATGCATAATATTATGTATCCACCATTACGTTATCAAACAGAATAGTTTCACTATGGTAAAAATCCTCTGTGCTCTGCCTATTCATCTCTCCCTCCTCCCTAACCTCTGATCATTTTACTGTCTCTATAGATTTGCATTTTACTGAATGCCATATACTTGGAATCATACTCCATTTAGCCTCTTCAGATGGGCT